GTTGTTTGAGCTGATTTTTAACCCTCTCAGTACGATGCAAACAAATAGGAGGGGAGTGCCACTTAAAGTGAAACCATTCAGGTGCTCACCTGACCCACAGGTAGAGCTTTAATTAGATGCAAACAGGTACCTACATAATTTTATTTTAATTAAAAAACAGTAATTTCTTTCCAAAGAAGAGAAAATATAAATAGTTACCCAAAAGAGAAAGGAGGAAAGAAAAGTAAAAAAAATAAATTCCTTTTATGGGCTGAATTTACAAAGTGTTTCTTGGAAGCAAAGATGAATTACCTATTTAAAAACACATCCCGGTTCCCAAACCTCTGGGTGAAACTACTCAAAGTCCTCTTACAAAGACACGGCTCAGCAGGTCATCTCTTTTAAACAATACTGCCGAACAGATTAAACAAAACATTTTAAAAGGCAAAAGATCTTCAGAGGGAACATGAACAGAACAGTACAAAAAATTAAACCAGGAGAACTGAAAACCAAACTAGACTTTTTCTGTGTCAGCTGTTTAAAACTGTCACAAGCACAAAGAAATCTACCTCACAAGGCTTAAACTTTTGCCAAGCGCCCTGGCAGGTTAGATTCATATTCATGCCGTTCATCCAAATCCCAGCTTTGTGGCTAAAACTACTCAATAGTCCTTAAAAATACCACACAAAGGTTTTACATTTATAAAACAAAAATGTTTTTTTCCTCTTTAAAATTCATTTATTTTTAGCCAATCATTTACTTGCCAATAGAAAGCACAAAAATAACAACCCAAACAAAGTTTGGGTGTTAAAAAACAAAACAAAAAACAAACAAAGTTTGGGTGTTTTGTTTTGTTTTTTGCTAGTTGTCCAGCCATCTAGTCAGTCTGGTCCGTGACTGCAGGGCTAATAGCCAGCAACCCAGTCACCGGGAGGGAGGAGAGGAAGAAAAATGACAGAAGAGCTGGGGAAACAAAAGGACACACACACACACACACACACACACACACACCACCCCCCACCACCCCTCACAAAACAAATAATCAGACCGGCCAAGTCACAGAAAAAAACAAACAGCCATATGGCTAACCAAGCCAAGTTACCAAACTTGTTCAGCGAAAAGACAAGCCACCAACTTAAGGCAGCAGACTTGTTGACAATCCAGCAAGCCCCAAAACTTGTTGAGTGACGGTCTGAAAAGACCAGGTGCCAGCTCAGCAAGTTTACCAGACCTCTTAGCCAGTGTCCTGGTGAGAAGCGGCTGGGAGGAGTTCAGACCATGTCCAGTCCCCTCTGCTAGTCAAACCAAAGAACTGGTCCCACAGTTAAACTTACCCCCAGAGAAACAGAAGACTCAGGCCGAATTCTAAAATTCCAGCGTCCCCAGGCTAACTGAGAAAGTTAGGAGTGTCCAGGGCCCTGATATTCAGGGAGTGTCCCCCCTCAAGGTCCCATACTTCCAGGAGCAGCTGCCCCTTCCCTATCAAAGTGCCAGAATGTTATGGGTTCAGATAAATGACAGCCACTATAATGTCTTGATACTTTAGAAGAGTCTTTATTCAGTTATAACTGGACTGTTAGAATCTAAAAGCGAGTCTTTGACTGCAGTCCCAAGTGGACGTTTCAGTCCATCTTTAAAGGCAAAAAAACTCATTTATCATTTGTTTAGGATGTAAGGGTGGACAGAAACAGAAAGCAAAATTAATGTTACTATTCGTTAGAGTTAGTGGGCATCACAGGGCACGGCATTGATTATAACAACCTGGTTAATAAAATAAAAATAGTAATATCCTGGTGGCAGCATCAAAAGGAACAATATTATTCATTGCATTGTTCTGATCTCGAGAATATGAGAGTCCATTCTAAGGTCAATCACTAGTGGGACTTTCCGAGATAGGAGGAGGAAGGAGGCAGGTCATTCAGCAGTCCACAAGAGGGCCTTCCAGTGGCTAGTGTGAGTCTGTCTCCGTTGTAGACCCTGCTGTTTCCTCTGTAAAGGGCTTGGAGAAATACAGCAAGAATTTTGGGAATCCAGCCTGTCTGCGTCTTTGGCTGAAATAGTGATGGGCATCCCAGATTTTATATCCCAGCAACATATGCAAGTTCTACAGTATTTCAGCGCTGCCCTGGTCCAGAGATTTTTCGGTGGGCCATCGTCAGGATGCAGCCAAGTTGGACTTTGAAAAGCAAAATGAAGTCTGTCACTGGAGGCTGGTATAGTTGGCATATGCACAGTTCTCTAGTCTCAATTTGAAAGCCTGGGTAGGCTGGAAAGGCCATCGTACAGGCATTCTGTCTTCTTGGAGTTGGCTTTAACTCATAGCGACATTGTGGGATGTGGTAGAACTGCTCTGTAAACTTCCAAGACTCTTCACCAGCGTAGAAAGCTTCAGGTTTTTTAGATTAATTAATTAAAGTAATCCTATCTGGTCTTTCAAGGTGGGGAAGTTTGTGATGTGGAAAACAACGGAAGCTCAGTCTTTATCTTTTCTTTTTTTAATCATTTTATTAGGGGCTCATACAACTCTTCACAATCCGTACATACATCATTTGTGTCCAGCACATTAGTACATATGTTGCCATCATCATTCTCACAACACCTGCTTTCTACTTGAGCCCTTGGTGTCAGCTCCTCATTTTCCCCCCACCCTCCCTGCTCCCCCCTCCCCCTTGATAATTTATAAATTATTACTATTTTATCGGCTCAGTCTTTATCATTCTCCAGAGTTCCTTTATAATGTCACATCAACCCACTCCAGTGAGGGTCCATTTCTCTCCCCTGGAGGCGCCGTGATGTCTCCACATCGCGTGTGCTTCCTGAGTGACGGTAATCTTTACAGCCATTGCTTCCTTAGTATCCTGTCGGCAGCATGGATGTGTTCAGCCAGGATCAGGGCTTAGTGTAGCCCTGTGGGTCAGGGTGTGGCTACAGATACAAAATCCCAAAGCTCTGGGTGGGGTGTACTTTGTTGGATTTCTGGGTCCTGGAGGGAATCAGGTCTGCTTTGCTTATCAAGGTGTCTGGTTTGTATAGTAGCTGATTATAACCCTGAAGGAGACCTTGTGGCTCCATGACTTAGTTCTCAGCTGGTCTTGGCAAGTCCATGCTTGCCACTCCAAAGGATAGAGAAGGGGTGGGCTTCCATAAGAGTATATGGCTTTGGAAGCCCTGTTGGCCCTTTATTGCTTCCAACAGCATTGCTGTGAGTCTGAATACACTCAGGGGCATAAATAGGTTCAAGGGACCCCCCAGGTGCTAGTGGACAGAAACAAGATGGGGAGCCTTGATGTCTGTGTATTTTCTGTGCTTTAGTGTGTGGGGTGGTGTGGGGTGGGGTGGAAGTGGGCATGATGTTGCGTTGAGATCCCTGAGGGACTGTCGGGATTTTATCAGATGTGGATTTTGTGGAGGAGTCTTTTGGGGTGAGTGTGTAAAGTGCTTGACTGCTAACCACAATGTTGGCCTTTGACCCCGTAAGTTGTTTCTCAGGAGTGTTCCTCAGGAGAAAGATGAGCGTGCCAGGCTGTAAGGGACAGTGCCACACTGCCTGGGAGGGTTGCTGTGAGTCTCAATTGCTGTAGCCTCTTTCACCTGTAGTTCTGGAATAGGAGGAGGTTCGGCTAGGTCACATCAGTGGAATTACCTGGCATCCGATAAGGCCTCCTGAAGGAGTGATCTGGATATTGTCTGCACTATGACTACTTTCCTTCGTTCTTTTTTATAATTAAATCATTTTACTGGGGGCTCGTACAACGCTTATCACAATCCACACATGCATCCCTTGTGTCAAGCACTTTTGTGCATGTGTTGCCCTCATCATTCTCAAAATATTTGCTTTCTACTTGAGCCCTTGGCATCAGCTCCTCGTTGTTTCCTCTCCCGCCCTGCACCCCCCTCCCCCATGAACCCTTGATAATTTATTTTTTAATTGATAATTTATAAATTATTATTATTTTGTCATATCTTACACCATCTGATGTCTCCCTTCACCCACTTTCTCCGCTCTCCGTCCCCCAGGGAGGAGGTTATATGTAGATCCTTGTAATCAGTTCCCCCTTTCTCCCTCACCTTCCCTCCACCCTCCTGGTAGGGCCACTCTCACCACTGGTCCTGAGGGGTTCATCTGTCCTGGATTCCCTGTGTTTCCAGTTCCTGTCTGTACCAGTGTACATCCTCCAGTCCAGCCGGATTTGTAAGGTAGAATTGGGATCATGATAGTGGGGGCGGGGAGGAGAAAGCAGTCAAGAATTAGAGGAAAAGAGTCAGGGTGCCGTGTAGCAACGATGAAACTATGACTACTTTCAATGTACATGATTCTCTTTGTGGCCATTCAATTAGTTCTTGGAATAATCGTATGCGTTGAAATTATTCTGTGAGGGAAACACATAGGAATGTATTTACTTAAAGACGTACAAGTTCCAAAGCCTTCTTCTCTAGGGTGAGTGTGAGTTGGAATCTACTTGATGGCTTTGGGCTTTTCTGTGTTGAGGGTGATGGTGAATGGAAGCAAGTTGCTTCTGGAAAATCACGTCAAGATCTTGGTTCCCCTCCGTAGAGGGCTTTGCCTCTGTGGACTCAGTGGTGTTGGTAGGAATGGTACCAAGACCTCCTCGCTCTTCCTTGTCAAGAGCGATTTTGTTCTCAGTAGTACCTTGACAAAGGACATGATAGGGTTCTGTTGGCCCGCTAACCCATCAGGGATCGTTTCCGTCCTTGTGTTGTTGAAGCTCCAGCGTGCTCTTCCTACCAAGGAAAGCATCCTGTGAAGAAAGATGAACCTAGGCAGGCCACATCTTTTTCATTTTGAAGCCTTCAAATTATTACAGTGCAGAGTTTTACTGTAAGTGGGAAGGTGTATAGGACCCCCTGTATGATCTGAAGAGCATGAGTCATCCTTGGCCTTCCCTGTAAATCAGTCCTCCCCAAGTAATGAGTTTTCCTTTCTGTGGTCGCTTTTCCCCAAATATTCTGATATGCAATAACACAATGCATGTCCAGGTAGTGCACGGAGACTTCCTGCTCATTTCTGAGATCAGGAAGAGGGATAATGTTCTTTGTTCTTTCAAAGGAATTTATTGTGAAGAAATGATTGCATAGAGATCAGTTTGTTACTTCTGATTGTGCTTGAAGATAGGGTTAAATAGGACCGTTTGATGGTATGTTTTGTGCATATTAACGATGTATGATTGCAGTTGTTAGCAAAAGAAATAAGTTCAGTAACCTTACATCTAGAAACAAATGGGAGAAAAGCAAGGTAGTAAAGGTAAGTAGGTAGTCAGTTGAGTCTTTTTAGCTTACCAGAAATGAGGCTTGCAATGCTGATAGTCATGTTCATTGTAGCATTGGGTACACAACTCTCATTTACTGTGGGAGAAGCCCCTGGATCTCAATTCCCATGTACACTTTGTGGGGCGGCTTCAGGCACATCATTGATTCAAGTCACACCCAAGATTATTAATCAAGTTGGTTTATGAACAGGTCTGTAAGGGAATAAGATGATTTTAATAGTCTTAGATATTTTAGGGTGGCACATACAATAAGCATTGGGCTGTTAGCCACAAGGTGCACAGTTCATACCCAGCATCTGTTCTATAGTCTAGAGATGAGACCGTGTGCTCTGATAATGGTTTATAGTGACAGAAGCTCCAAAGATCAGTTGTGTTCGGTCTTATGAGGCTGCTGTGAGTCAGAATTGACTGGAGTCCAGTGACTGGGTATCTTCATGAGGCAAAAATGTGGACGATCCAGGCGGTGCACACAGTGAGACTCAACTACTGCTTTTTGAAAGGTGGGTAATTCAAATCCACACAGAGGAGACTTGGAAGGTAAGCCTGGCCCTCGGGTACTGAGAGATCACAGACAGGAAAACTTTTGGAGCACTTCTGTGCTCACATCTTAAATTCCAATTAACTGCATGAGAGTTCACACCAGCAACAAGGTGGGTGAAATGATGTTCTGGGCAATACATCTGCGATCATTCTGAAGGTGGCCTTGCCTTCTAAAACCACCTCCTATACCGAATGAGTGGAGGACTGTGACAGGATCATGTAACATGCATATGGTGTCACTCGTAGGTTATCTTTGTAGAAGTCATGGTGACTAGGAGTGGCCCACTTCAAATTTCCAAATGTCTCCAAGTCCTAGGCCTGGGGGAGTGGAACACAAGTGGGACTTGGGACCTAGGGAGACAGAGGCTTATTTCTTCATGACTCATCTGGTGTGCGCTTCAGAGACTATTTCAGCAAAGGCATTGAGCTGTAGTCTTGATCTCTTTGGCTCAGCTCTTAGAAACTGATCCGGGATATGAACATAGAACCTCAGCTGGAGGGGCCTACAGGCATAATACAGTTTGGCAGGTGGGGAAAAACAAAAACAACTTGTCAGCCAAAGGATTTGAAGGTTTCCAGATTGGACATGAGTCAAGGTCAAAACCCCAGAGCCGTCAGCCTCCATGAATGACGGGAGCAGAGGGAGTGAGCGGACAGGATTGCTGCAGAAGAAACCCGGGTGTAGAGCGCGCACAACAACTGCAGCCCTCTCTCCCCCTCCCCCCTGTAGGTCCCGGATGCTTGGCAAACAAGGGGCTTTAGGAACGAGGGTGTTAAGAAGTCACCCAGGCAACAGAATTCCGTCTGGAAAGGAAATCCATTCCCAGTGGTCCCGACATCAAGTTTAAAGTTGCCACTGGCCTTCATCCAGGCCGTCCCATTACTCGGTCTATTCTGTCCCCTAAGAGCAGACCTTTGAAAAGGTTTTATCTTCAAAGAGAAGAAACAGTGTGGAAACCATGAAGAAACGGACGCAGAGATATAAGGGAAAAGGTGAGAGTGGTTGAGGGAATCCGGGGATCAGAGTCCATGTTGAGGGCGAATGTATAGGTGGCCACCGCCGGGTACATTGACTGCTTCTAAGTAGCCCAAGCCAGCGAAGCCCCCCTGGGAGCGTTGTGGATGGTGTCCAACCTCAGAGCTTCTGGGTCTTTTTTCTTGTAGGTTTGTCTTCTAAGTCTACTCAATGGCTCCCAGAAGAGACGGAGAAGGTCAAAATCCTGGTGAGTTGGAACTACCTCTCTCGTGGTGATGAAGCGCCCTTGAGTTGGATCAGCTCCAACCCAATGCGTCCCCACGGACAACAGATGAAACTACTGCCCAGCCTGCACCATCCTCTCAGTGGTTAAGTCTGATCCCAGCGCTGCAATCATTTAGACTGACTGCCTGTCTTGGCTAGGGCTTAAACAAAATGTATGTGGCCCTTTACATTACAAATCCTGCTGCCACCGACGACGCGGCCATTTGAAGTAGCCGTGAGCTGTGCAAGCGAAAGATGGGAACGTCTGCTTCTGAGAGATGGACGGTCTCTGCTTCGCCTCTGTTCCGTGGCAACCCTGGGAGTCCAGGTGGACTGTGCAGCCCCGGTTCAATCGCCGGTTGTCCTTTCTGTAGACCAAGTTGTCCGTGTGCAATGGCAACCTCAGATAAATGAGGGCTGACCACAGACCAGCCCTTTTGGAGGGGGTGATACTGAACGTTAACAGAGCCGATCTCCTCAGACTATGCTCCAGCAATAGCTTGTCATCCAGCAGTAACCTGTCCCCCCCCACACAGATACACATATCCCACACAAAGCCCCACCCTAGTGGTACAACCGTCTGTAAATGTCCTGTGTTTGGAATATTTTTGCTGTTGTGAAATGTAGTTTGTATTTTGGGGGCTGCTGCTCCACATGATGATTGACATGTTGAGAACTTTGTTTGGGAAGATCATTAAAATTCATAAAGGTAATGAATTATGCAGATCCCCCTGAGTCTCCTGAACTCTCTAGCATTACTCTTCACAGGCCCCTCGGTGCACTCCCACCTGTCTCTATCGTGGAAGTTTCTTTCCATCGTCTTGAAATCCTCACCATTTCTAATACTAGCACAGGTCCCACTTCTAGGAAGCCTTTCATTTTTTCTAGTCCATCTTATATGCTCCCATGCTTGAATCCTTCCATTATCAATCCTGAAATGACCTTATTTTAGTTCTTTCCTACTGTTGTTAGAGTGGGGTAAAGCCTGGGTGCTGTTCAGGGTTGTACTTGGGTTGTTCAGCTCAAGGTGAGCAGTTTGAATCCACCAGTTGCTATGCAGGAGAAATATGAGGTATTTCAATCCAATGAGGATTTACAATCTTGCAAACCCACTGGTACTGTTATACCCTCCTCTGTTGGGTCCCTGTGAGTTCCAGTCAATTCAATGGCAATGAGTTTTAATTTTTTAATGTAGGATTCACTGAAAAATTAATTCTTGTGACCTCACACACATGCTAGCCCCAGGATGTGGTTTGTGCATCACTGCTGCTCCCCATATGTGTTGACCCGAGGCCATGGGTCCAGCCATGTTCAACAGGATTGCTGTGGTCAGCTCTGTTCTAAATGGACTAGACGCCCATCTTTCGATCCGGACGCCCCATATCCTTGATTAAACTCCTTTCACTGGGAAAGGTGATGTGAATTCAGTGTTCATTGATTCATTTTAGGAACCTGTGACGTTGGAGGACGTCACCATTGTCTTCACAAAGGCAGAATGGAGGAGACTGAGCTCTGAGCAGAAGGATCTGTACAAGGAGGTGATGCTGGAGATTTACGGGAATCTGCTTTCCTTGGGTGAGGATGTGCCCCTCTTCATGCCCTTCCTTAATCCCGTAGCTATTTATTGATCATCTACTATGTGCCACTGCAGCCCTCAGGAGTTAGTTGAAAGGTTGAAGGTTTGAATCCGCAAGCTGCTGTATGGAAAGAAATTCTGGGAATGTTCTTCCCTAAATATTTACAGCCACATTATGATACTACTCAGGGTCAGAAATTACTCTTCCATCCAGAGAACCTATTCTCAGCTGTGCCAAAGGTGCCGCACCCAGGGCCATTTGGTGATTGGACTTCATGACTACCGGTTACAAATATCTTTCAGCTGTGCTTGTAAGTCCCGAGAGCAGCAATTCTCAACCTGTGGGGTGCGACCCCTTTGGGGTCGCCTGAGACCATATTTCCGATGGTCTTAACAACCAAGACATCGCTCCTCTATCTGTCTCCAGGCGTGTCCGCCCACATGCATACGCCCACATACGGGGTCACCCCAACAGGAGGAACTGTATGAAAGGGTTGCAGCATTAGGAAGGTTGAGAACCACTGCCCTAGAGGCACTCCACTTTACTCCACTCCAGCCCAAACAAAGGTGCTCAACTCCAGCTCCATCAGTGAGCACACCAGTCTCCAGGGGCCCTCCCACCTCCAGTATCTTCCCAGAAGGCACTCTGCTTTCCCCGTCTGTGGGGTCACCTGAACATCTGCCCTTTCAAGTGCTGCTGTTTCTCTGCCACCCCTCCCAGTCACCTTTCCACCGTTTCCCCCTGTCTCAGCAGAGTGTTCGAGGTCCTGGTCTCCTGTGTCAGGAAGCTTCTCAAGACAGTGATCATGGGCCCACTGGCATGCTCCACCCCTTACTCTTCTTCTTGGTGGGCCTGATATCCAACCTTCCTGTTCGGAGATGATTCTCTGTAAGCCTTGGCTTGGAAACCTGGCCAACAATCAGGGGAGAGTGGCTTTAAATAGAAGAGCGCTCTGACATAATACACTGCATCAGTCTGGGATCTTGGGCTCTGTAAGCAGCCCTGTGTTGCAGTGGGATAGCGTAGGGAGGCCTGTTCCAGGGTCAGAAGTTGGAACCCCCCTGCTGCCTCTTGGAGAATCATGAGGCTTTCTGTTTCTGTCAAGATGGACATGACTGGAAACCCCAAGGGGCAGCTGTGCTCTATCCTGGAGTCTGCTTTATAAAGTGGTGTTCAATATGCTAGCATGCTCTTTTTGATTTACATAGTAGTTGCCAACACTGAACCCTACCCAACTAGTTGGAGTGTCTGTCTATCACCATGGAGGCCAGTAGAGCCCTTCCTCCATGATGGTGGATCCCTAGAGTTGGCCGGCAGCTCCAGGGCACACACAAAGCAATGCCTCGGCAGCTCTTACAGACAGATTTCTTGAACCAGGAAGCTCTGGACAGGCCGCAGGGCTCTTTCTGTCAAGAGCTTGTGAACCATGCGAGCCCTCATCTTTCTGTACCAGGAGGAGTGATACCATCCCCCCAGGAAGTGGGGTGTGTGTGAACGAGTGTTTGATGCCTTTCATTCAGTTGGAACATCCTCCCAGTGCTTGTTTGAGGCCAGGGTTGCAAGAACTGTTAAGGTCCGTCCCTGGGAGATGCTTCCTTTTTTTTTCACCCCCTGCGCACGATGAATAACAAGCAAATGTGTTGCTATAGCACTTTCCGGCACAGGAATGACCAGCTAGATTCAAAATGGAGTTTGTTAACAGGAGGCCTAGAAGAACACACGTTCTAATATTGTGGACTCCCAGCAAGCCATGAGCACTGCTTTTAAAGGTGTGGACCCCAGACATGAGTGGTTAAAGAGGCAGAAGGCGGGCTTATCTGTGCACAGTCCTGGCAGAGTGCTGTTCATATCGGTGGGTACCCTTGGCAGAGGAGGGGAGATTTGGCACCCGTGGGATCTCAAAGCAATAATTTCTTTTATTTTCTTTTAAGGAAAACTAGAAAGTTTTCCTTTTCAGTGTAAACCCAAGAAATCGAAAAAGATCTAAAATGCCCCCTCCTGGTAGCCAGTGTCACAACAGCCAGCCCAGCTTGACTAACTCCATCTGTTCACCTAGGCTTAACCTTGACCCCACCCCCATGTATCCCGTGTGCTCAGAGCCAGGATGTGATCTTAATCTTGCTGTGGTTTCCTTTTGTAACACCGGCTCGCTGCAGTATTAAATCTAATGCGCGCTTGTGGCAAGGGAGACAGACGCTTCCTGCATGGTCAGCAGAGCCTCTGGAAGCATACTAGGAAAAGCCTTTTGAAGGGTTATTATCTCAGTCAATCTTTGGTAGGTGTTTCTTGGGTCAGGTTTCCGGGGAGGGCGTTTTGGTTCTGATGGAGCGAGTGAGAGTTAGCCAGCTGTTCATGGAATGGTGGAGATGTAGCAAAATTGGGCCCTCACTTCCTCGACATTGAAATGTAACAGCACCTCCCTTGCTATAAAATTCCTTTTAAACCTCGTAAGCGGGGGCAAACAACGCCATCTAGGGTCGGCAGGGCTTTCTGAATCTCAATGAACACGAGGGATTGAAACACCCAAGGACGGCCTGTTCCCTGTGACCCATGCCTTCTTTGTCTGCTGAAGAAAACTGTTTATCAACACAAACGTGATGAGCATTACCTGGAGCCTGGAACATAGCTTAGAGCAGTGGTTCTCAACCTTCCTCATGCCGCCACCCTTTCGTACAGTTCCTCATGTGGTGGTGCCCACCCCACCCCACCCCAACCCTAACATTATTTTTGTTGCTACTTCATCACTGTCATTTTGCCACTGTGGTGAATCGGGCGACCCCTGGGAAAGGGTCCTTTGGACCCCAGAGGGTCGCGGCCCACAGGTTGAGAAGCCCTGGTTTCGAGTATAACATTTGTTTGCTTTTCTTTGAACTGTTGAAGCAGGCTTGGAGTGTGTAGACCCCACTGTTTCCTCTGTGAAGGGCTCGGAGAAATAAACTGAGAATCTGGGGACTCCAACAGGGCTGTGTCTCTGGCTGAAACAGCGGTGGGCATCCGGACCTTATATGCCACCAACTTATTTGCCCCTGAACAGTTTTTCAGTTTGTTCCATGTCCATGTATTTTGCATTGGGTAATTTTTAGGATCGAGCCCAGTTGGAATTTGAAAATCAAAATGAAGTTGTTAGGTTCGAGCTTCCAGCCAGGAAGGGGTGGTACACCTGGATTGGCCCATCTAGGCCAGGTGAATTTGATTCAGCCAAAGGGGTCGATGAGTATTGTGACCACGCCTTCCAACTGCCCTGCTGCAGTCTGACCAGGGCCACAATCCCGCAATCGGGCCGCTACTGTCCTCTATAAAACTTACTTAGATCCCAACCAGGCTTTGGCATGAATTCTTTCTCCTGCGAAGCCAAGGACTGAGGTATATCTCTCCCACGAGAGATCTAACAAAGTCTCTAACTGCAGCGTCTGGTGTAGTTAGCATGGGCACCGTTCCTTTATTCTCCATTCGAAATGCTGGTTAGTGCTGGAAATGCCATTTTAGATGTAAAGTGTCTTCTTGGAGTGGATTTCGACTCATTGTGACGCTTTCGAATCTGTTAGGACTGCTCTGTGGGTTTCCGAGACTGTAACTCTTTACCAGAGTAGAACGCTTAGTCATTTTTACATGCCGCAGTGGCCATGGATAACCTTGGGCACATATCTTCATCAGAACTGGCCTTTAAAGATGTGATGTGGAAAACAACTGGTGCTTAGGCTTTATACTTCTCCAGAGTTAGTATAGAATGTTGTCACGCGCGATAGGTGACACACGACGAAACAAATCAGTCAGGATCCTTCTGATGGCGTTGTAAGTGGATTTTATTTAAGCTGCCTCTTACTCCGAGGTCAGCTGCCGAAGACCCTGAGTTCCGCGAAACTCGGGCTTATATACGCTACTTGGTGACGGGGCATCCCCGGATTGGTGCAAAGCTCTCCTGCGTCATCATTGACTTTATGCGCATGCGTAATATTACTTGTTTACAAGCAGCCTCTGGCGGAAAGGGTGTGACCCGGCGCCATCTTGTAATGGCGACCAGAAATGGGCGTGGCCCGGCGCCATCTTGTCATGGCGACCACAGAATGTCACTTCACCCCGTTTCTGTGAGCGTCCATCACTCTCCACCTGGCGGCACTGTGTGCTTCCTGAGTGACGTTGATCTTTACAACCATCACTTCCTTAATATCCTTTATGCCACATGGATGTGTTCAGCCAGGATCAGGGCCTCATGTAGCCCTATTGGTGGGGATGTCTCTAAGGATATAAAATCCCAGAATTCTGGGTGGGGAATGCTTTGTTGCATTTCTAGGTTGGAGGTGAGTCAGGCCTTGTATGCATATCAAGGTGTCTGTTTGTTTAGTAGCTGAATACAACCTAAAAGAAGACCTGGTGGCTCCTTTGTTAAGTTCTCAGCTAGTCCCAGCAAGTAAGTGGTTTTGAAAACCTTGCCACTCTGAAGGATAGAGATGGGGTGGGCTTCCTGTGTAATGCATGGCTTTGGAAACCCTGTAGGCCCTTGGTAGTGTTTCCAACAGCATTGCTGTGAGTCTGAATAGATGGAGAGCCAGTGAATAGGTTCCGGAGCCACCCCAGGTGGTAGTGGAGTGGGAATGAGATGGGGAGTCTGGATGTCTTTGTTAGGTTCCTGGGATCCTTGGCTTCGCAGGAGAAATAATTCACTCTGGAAGCCTGGTCTGTGATCCAAGTGAGTTTTTATAAAGGTTAGAAGAAGTTTCAGGGTTTACACAGGTACCCTCTGGGTACTTCACACCCACACATGGAAAACTCAGGCCAGAGAAAAACCACAGCCAGGCCAAGGAGAGCTGCAACAAGAGGGGCTGTAGGTTTTGGATTCTGGCTTTCTCAGGCCCTCCCCTGGGAGGTGTGGTCGACGGTACTGGTTGCCCCCATTGGCTGAATTCAGCTCATCTGGCCCAGATCGGGGCCCACCCAGGTGTACCGCCAGGGGGACACCC